TAAAATGTTGAACATTTTATTGCATTTTCTTTTCTTTTTAAAATTTTTTTTAATTTTTAGACATTTTTATTGATTTATTTTTAGAAAGGAAAACATCAATGTGTGGTTGCCTCTTGTACATGTTTCACTGGGGCCCTGACCCACAACCCAAGCATGTGCCCTGACTGGGAATCCACCTGGCGACCCTTTGGTTTGCGGGGCACTCAGTCCACTGAGCTACAGTAGCCAGGGCATGATTTTTCTTTGTAATACTGATCTGATGAGGGTTTTGTGTTTTTATTTTTTGGAACAATATTTTATTATTTAAAGGCTTTGCTAGAATAACATTTGTTTCCACTAGCTTTTTTTTTAATTAACATACATTTGCAGACTGTGTTTTAAAGTCCTTGTACTGAGTCTTTTCACATGTTTAATTTCACACATTGCAATTTTTTTCTTTGGCTTTTTACTTTATTCTTTACACTTTTCTCAAATTTCTACTTTTATCTCAGTTTTTATCTTTCTCGTTTTAAAATTTTGATTTAGCCATTGTTTGATGCATGAAGAGATATTTATGTATGTAGATTATCATAACTGAAATTTTTCTTTGCTTTATCTCACACTTTTGACCTTTGTGCTTTTATTGTCTACATGTATCTGTACAATTTTGCCCCTATTTCCAAGATTTTAGTTTTGTTTTTTTGCATTTTGCTTTAAGAGAAATTTTTTTTAACATTTAAAAAATATGTTTAACTCTGGCTGGTGTGGCTCAGTGGATTGAGTACCAGCCTGCAAACCAAAAGGTCTCTGGTTCAATTCCCAGTCAGGGAACATGCCTGGGTTGTGGGCCAGGTCCGCAGCTGGGGGTGTGCAAGAAGCAACAGATTGGTGCATTTCTTCCACTTTAAAGATTTATTTATTTATCTTTAGAGGGAAGGGAAGGAGAGAGGGAGAGAAATATCAATGTATGGTTGCCTCTCGTGCGTCTCCTGCTGGGGACCTGGCCTGCAACCCAGGCATGTGCCCTGACTGGGAATCGAACCACAGTTATTTGGTTTGCAGGCCCATGCTCAATCCACTGAGCTACACCAGTCAGGGCTAAATGTTTTTTAAAAAATAAAAAATATGTTGGTTGATGTGAGAGAGAAACACCCATTGGTTGCCTCCCTGACTGGGGATTGAACCCCTAATCTTTTTGTATAGAGACTGTGCTCCAACTGGCTGAACCACACCAGCCAGGGCTAAAGTAACTGTTGTAGGACATACAGGGCAGTCTGTGTGTTTCAGCCGGGAGAGCTCAGTGGCTTTCCTTAACAACTTACTTTCTATTTTTAAGCATTTTTCTTTTTTTTTAAAAGATTGTATTTATTTCTTTTTAGAGAGAGGAGGAGGGAAGGAGAAATTGGAGAGAAACATCAGTGTGTGTTTGCCTTTTCCACGCCCCCTACTGGGGACCTGGCCTGCAACCCAGGCATGTGCCCTGACTGGGAATTGAACCAGCAACTCTTTGGTTTGCAGGCCTGCACTCAGTTCACTGAGCCACACCAGCTAGGGCCTTTTTCATCTTTTTAACCTGACACTCTGTGGACACCTTTCAGCACTGCCTTCAAAGCCTTCATCTATGGGAGGGCCAGAGGCTGCCTTCTTTGCTTTTGACACCATCTTGGTGAAAAGGGCAATGACTGTAGTTTTATTTTTTTCCAGAATGTCATATAGTTGAAATCACACCGTATGTAGCCTTTTCAGACAGGCTTTTTTCCCTTAGGGTCCTCCATGTTCTTTCAAGGCTGAATACTGCATGTCTTTTTAGTGCCAAATAATATTCCTTTGGCTGTAATACAGTATATTTATTCATTCCTCTACTGAAGGATATCTTGGTTGCTTCCAAATTTAGGCAATTATGAATAAAGCTGCTATAAGCATTAGTGTGAGGTTTTTTGGTTTTGGTGGGTATGTTTTCAGCTCCTTTGGATGTATACCAAGATGCATGGTTGCTGGGTTGTAGTGTAAGAATATGATCAGTTTTGCAAGAAACTGCCACACTGTTGTGCAAAGTCGCTCTCCCCTTTTCCCTTCGCACCAGCAATAAGGGTTCCTGTTGCTCCACATCCTCACCAGTAACTGGTTTTGTGAGTGGTTTGCATTTTGATCATTCTAATAAGTGTGTAGTGGTATCTCATTGTTTTAATTTGCATTTCCCTGATAGCATATGATATGGAGCATCTGTTCGGATGCTTGCTGTGCTGAGGGGTCTGTTCGGGTCTGTGGCTCATTTTTTAATCAGGTTGTTCATTTTCTTACTACTGAGTTTTAACCATTCTTTGTATATTTTTATTTATTTATTATTTTTATTTTTGAAGGATTTTATTTATTTAGACCTAGAGGGGAAGGGAAGGAGAAAGAGAAACATCAGTGTGTGGTTGCCTGTCACATGCCCCCTACTGGGGACTTGGCCCACAGCCCAGGAATGTGCCCTGACTGAGAATCAAACCAGTGACCCTTTGGTTTGCAGATGGGCTCTCAATCCACTGAGCCACACCAGCCCGGGCTCTTTGTATATTTTTAGTAGTAGCGCTTTAGCATATGTCTTTAGTCTGTGGCTTGTCTTCCCATTTACCCATCCATGAACAGATGATTCACAAATACACACTGGCAGAACAGAAACTAGCTTGAACTCTAGGCCCATTTATCCCGTTGTCTATCTCAAAAGCACCTCAAACTCAGTATGTCAAACAAAATTGGTGCTTTTTCTTTAAAACCTAGCTCTTTCTTGGTCTTGGTGTATAGCAAGCATCACCATTTGTCTAGTAAGAAAGCCAAATGTGAAAGTCCTCCCATTTCCCTCCCCCCTCTGTATCTTATCTTTCAACAGGTGTGTGCTCCAGACTTCATACAGTCTTTCCTCTGCCAAGAATGTACTTCCTGCTGTTCTTTGCTATACAACTGCTGCTCATTTTTAAGACCCAGTTTGAACCGCTCCCCCAGGAAAGCCCTCCTGGATCTTCTTGAATACATCAGTGTGTAGTATAAGCACCCGCGACCCTTGACCCTTACTTTGTAATTTGGCACATTTGCATATGGATATTTTTCCCCCTAGATGTTAACTCCCTTGAGGGTCAGTTCCATGTCTGTTTTTGCTCAACTTTTTTTTCCTTTAGCATTTAGTACAGTAACTACATATACTCTGATCTTAACATATGTGAACAAATGTCAGGGAACTTGTAAGGTTTGTGTCTTCATTCAGAAATGTTACCAGGATATATGTAGATGTATTGTATATCTTTTATTAACCTTGTGCCAAATCTCATGAGTTTTGTCATCAGATGACTCTGGTCCAGGAAGGTTTCCTGTTACCATGCTATTTATTTGTTTTTCATCCTCCTTCCATTAGCTGTTTGTGAGGTTTTCTGGTTCTGTTCCTCAGAGCTACTGTCAGGACTCACAAGTTCCATTGACTCACAAGTTCCATTGGCTTTCTTATTTATTGATCTGCTTTAATAACAGCTACAGTTGTGACTAGTTACCCTAGTTTCCTTCCTATAAGTCAATGAACCCCCATGAAGGGGTGTAATTTTTGTTTTGTTTTTTTTTAAGGTTTTATTTATTTATCTTTAGAGGGGAAGGGAAGGAGAGAGGGAGAGAAACATCAATGTATGGCTGCCTTTCATGCGTCCCCTGCTGGGAACTGGCCTGCAGGGAACCTGCCTGCAACCCCAGTATGTGCCCTGACTGGGAATCGAACCGTGATTGTCTGGTTCGCAGGCCCGTGCTCAATCCACTGAGCTACACCAGCCAGGGCGCTAATTTTTCTTTTTAAACTTACAAGTTCTAGCAATTTGAAACAGTCATGGTGGATCAGCAGGTGGTATAATTGTTAGTACTTCAGCAGTAAATTCAGCTGGTAAAACTTGATTACCTTATAAGATTTGCAGAGGGAGATTCAGAAACTGGCATCCTGGCCCTGGCTGGCGGAGCTCAGTGGATTGAGCGCGGGCCTGTGAACTAAAGGCTCACAACTCGATTCCCAGTCAGGGCACATGCCTGGGTTGCAGGCCAATTCCCAGCAGGGAATGCACAACAGGCAACCATACATTGATATTTTCTCCCTCTCTCCTTAGCTTCCCCTCTAAAGATAAATAAATAAAATCTTTAAAAAAAAAGAAAAGAAACTGGCATCCCAGCTGTTGTCCAAAGTGTGTATTGTGCTTTCTCACTTCTCATCCCAGTTACCTAAATAATGAAGGAACGGGAGTGGTCTCTCTCTTTCAAAGTTAGACACTTACGCAGTATAGTGAAATGATTAAAAACATAAATGAACAACCCAAATGCGTCTCCTCACGCCAGAATAGGACCTAAGTTAGGTGGGAAGAAGCAGGGAATTTAGTTCTTATATTCCCTTCAAGATATGTTTTAACATTTGCACTCTGGAAAATAATATTATGAATTGATTTAACAGCTAGTTTGAAAAAAAATTCTTAATGTGAATCTCTGCTATTGAAAAGGGGGCTTGTGTTTCTCCATTTTGTGTAAGACTCTATCCAAGGTACCTTAGACTTTCAAAATTTGGTATGGAGCACTTTTAAAAAAAATGTTTATTTGCTTAAATTAATCAGTTTGATACTAATAGAACATACCAAAGTTAATAGTATGGGAAACCGTTTCCATCATTCTTATTTATTTACTGTTTTATTGATCTATTACATTCAGTCTTTACCTAAATGGGATTTTAATGGTCATGTTGTATGAATTTTTTGAATGCTGATGTTTTTTTCCTTTTGTTTTAGTGTACATATGCCCATCTCATTAGTGGCCCTTTTATTAAGTTGTTACGGAGTACACTTATATAATTTACTTAATAACCAAGCTTATCTTTCTCAAGATAAAAATAAAGCTTCAGTAAACAATTACTTTTTTAATATTTCAGCTAATTTTTTTTAAGATTTTTGAATTTGGAAGGTCTGCAAGAACAAAAGTTATTCTTCAGGAAAAGAAAACAATCCAGTTTTGATTACATATTCACCATGTCCAGTGTACAATCAAGTATCCCTACATTTGCAAAGAAAGAAGAAAATAGTTTCCACATGAAAATAATTCAGCTGATAGAAACCGAGGTGGCTCAGTTATTGGATTTAAAATACAAAGACATGTCAACAATTATTATGAAGAAGTCAAAAGTGTTGATGGAAAATATGACCTTAATGGTTGAAGAAGTAAGGGAATCTCTTTAAAACGACCTAAAGGAAATTTTGGGAGTAAAAAGTACAGTGCCTGAAATGATAAATCCAAACTCCAGTAGCAGAAATGAGTGGCAGCAAAGAAAAGATACAGCCTCAATAAAAACAGGATTGGTAGAAAAAATAGGAGAAAACTATGTTGAGGATATGGAAAATTTGACATTTTAAATGGAAAGAGATAATTCAATGGAGTAGCAAATTAGACAAAAATAAAGAGTATAATACTAATCAAGGTAGTGAATTGTCCCAGAATGGGACAATTTTTGTCACCTTGTGACAAAATCACAAAGTCATGAAAAGTATGGAAGAAGCAATAGGTAACAGATGACATGGTGGACATTGCAGCATCCATATAGAAGTAACAGGAGAGGGCCACGAGCATAAACAAGATGTACTAATCAAAGAAATGAAAGAGGAAAACATCCCTCAGAACTTCAAAAATAGAGAGGAAATTCTAAATGCTTCCAAAGAAGATGGAGAAATACATTGGCAGCAGACTTTTCATCAGCAACATTGGACATTAGTAAGCAATGGAGTGATGTCTTCAATATTCTGGGGGAAAATAATTTTGAACCTAAACTTTTATGCCAAGTAAAATTAGCATTTAAATGTGATGGTAAAATTCAGGAGTTTTTCAAACATGCAGAGCCTCAACTAGTTTATCGGCCAAGAATCTTTTATGAAAGAATTACTGAAAGGTGTACTGCCAGAAAATGAAAAAGTAAAGAAAGGAGAAGGAAGATGTGGGATTCAAAACAAAGTGGTAAGCATACAACTCTGTAGAGCTTATGTATAAGATATATGTAATAGTTGATTTTCAGACCAGTTTTTAAGAAATCCTTAAAAGTAAAAGCATGACATTAAAAGTAATGATTAAAAAGCCCTTTTTAAAGAAAGATTTTATTTATTTACTTACAGAGAGAGGAGAAGGGAAGGAGAAAGAGAGGGAGAGGAACATAAGTGTGTGCGAGATATGGTTGCATCTCTCACAAGGCCTGCAACCCAGGCATGTGCTCTGACTGGGAATTGAACTGGTAACCTTTCAGTTCATAGGCTGGTGCTCAATCCACTGAGCCAGCCAGGACAAAGCACTTTTTTTTTTTTTTTTTTTTTGAGTACTGTTGGAAGCTTGGAAGAAATAAGATAGAGTTAAGAGTTGCTTGAGAGGAGATTGTACATATTCTAGCCATTGATAGAAAAACATGAATGAATATGTTAAATATTTAAAGGTAAAATTAGAACAATAATTTAATTAAAAGGGAGGCCCTGGCTGGTGTGGCTTAGCGGATGGAATGCCAACCTACGAACTAAAGGGTCACTAGTTTGATTCCCAGTCAGGGCACATACTTGAGCTGTGGACCAGGTCCCCAGTAGGGGGTGTACAAGAGGCAACCACACATTGATGTTAATCCCTCTCTCCCTCCCTTCTTCTCTCTAAAAATAAAAAAAAAATGAAAAAGTTTAAAAAATGCATTGAATCTGTAACTTGCTCTGGTTAGTATGTATATTTTAATAATACTCTAAATTGGAATTTAGGGACATCAAATACCTTTCTATTTATTTGTGCCTTCAGAGGTCTATATTAATCCAATATTTAAGAATAAACATTTAATCTCATAAATTAATTGTTCCCCTGAGAGTTAAGCAGATATGTAACCTGTTCTTGATATTGGAGTGTTGAAGAACAAATAATGACCAACCAGCCAGAAACAGGGGAAAGTCCTTCCTAACAGAAGGAGCAGTAAGTGAAAAACTCAGGGTCAAGGAGAGAGTTTTAAAAAATATTGATCCACCATTTATTTACATTGCAGACACTGTCATAAGCTCAGTACCTAGATTGCCTTTTTTAACCTTTACAACAAAAGAAGGTAGTGCTATGATAATGTCCTGTTTTAGGGGGGAAATTGAGACAGTGGTGGCAAATGTGGCAACTGGATTTGAAAAAAATCAGACTTGAATTGAGCCTGCATGCTAACCAAAACATTTTCCTTTTAAATAAAGTGGTTAGACTTTGAACTGCCTGGTAGGATCTTGAAAAAACTTTAAATTTTCTTGTCTTCTTTGGGGGAAAGGTTAATTTTGTATGTTCATTTTTGTTTTGTAATCCTCCTAAAGTTAGATAACAAGGTCTCTTTAACTACCCCTGCATATGATAACCAGAGATTCACTAATACAAGTCATCATTGAGAATCAGTTGTACATAAAACACTATGAGTTGGGAATACAGAAGAAACACAGTATACATAACCTCATGGGAATCTGTTGCAAGTACCACACAAGAAATTACAGGTGTGATGGAATGATCATAGGGACACCTGGCTTCTTTGGGGACTCAAAAAGCCTTTGAGAACAAGTCATTTAAACAATTTTCTACATATTTGCTAATTGTCAAAATAGCAGCCATGTTACATTTATAGAATGAAAGCTTGTATTCTTTTAAAAGACACACAATTTAATTACTTTTCTTAACTTTCAGGATAAAACTCTAATAGCCTCAAAGCATGGAGCTGGGGGAACAACCAGTGATGGCTTGATCCATCAAAGAACCTTTACGTCTTATTTATTGAAGAGGTAAAGGTTGCTGAGCCAGAAGAGGTAAAAAGCTCAGAGACTCCCAAGGAAGAAGATTCAGAGTGGAAGTAAAAAGAAGCCTTCATGGAGGAAGAGGCCTCAGAGCTGGAGGAGGAAGGAGAAGAGGCTTCAGAGTTGGAGGAGGGAGAAATGTCCTCAGGCCTGAAGGAAGAGGAAGAGGCCTTGGAGTTGAAGGACAAAGAAGAAGCCACCGTATTAGGTAAGGAACAGCCTTCAACCTTTCAGTCTTGTGCTATGGTGGTAAATACAAAGCATGGAGCTGAAATAACCAGTGATGAGTTGGAGAATATTTTAACTGAAGAGGCAGAAGACTCTGAGAAAGAGGAGGAAGAAAGCTCAGAGTGAGAATTGGTAGTATTCTTACTGTGGGAGGAAGGAAAGGACTTTGAAGTACAAAAACTAAAGACCACGTCCCAGATTGAGAAAAAAAGAGGACTCACATACACTTAAAGAAATTGCCTGTAGTTATTTGGCTTCAGATTCTGAAAAGAAAGCATTGGTGAAACATGAGCTAACATCTAAAGAAACAGATTTAATACAAGAAACAGAAGAAAACTTTGGAAGAAGTGTAATTAATATCTTCAGAGAGATACAAGAGAAAATTGGAAGTATTAAAAATGACCATCCTGGAAATAAAAAAATATCAATCTCAGAAACAAAAATTGAAGTAGGTGCTTTGAGGGGCAGACTAGACATGCTTGAAGAAAAAATGGACAATCTAGAAGATCGTATTGATGAATTCTCTTAGGATATAATGCAAATTGCCAAACTGATATAATTAAAGAAAGAGTAAGACACATAGCAGATAGATCCAGAAGCTTAAACATCTGTTTGATAGGCATTCCAGAAAAAGAAAATAAAGAGAACGAAGCAGAGGAAATTGTTAAGGAAATAATTGAAGAAAACTTTGCAGCACTAATGAAGATTCAAGTCTTAAGATTATCAGTGCCTATCAAATACCCAGTAAAAGTGATGAAAAGAAATTCACCCCTAGACACATCTTGGTGAAATTTGGGAATTGCAGTGATAAAGAAAAAATTCTAAATGCTTCCAGGGAGAAAAAAAGAGATAACTTTAAGAGAAATAAGAGTCAGATTGACAGCAGACTTATCATTGGATACACTGGATGCTAGAAGTCAAAGGGGCAATATCATAAGAGTTCTTCAGGCAAAAGGCTTTAACCCTAGAATTCTATATCCAGCCAAATTGGCATTTGCTTTTGAGGGTAAACAAAGATATTTTTTGATACTGAAAAATTTAGAAAGTTTATTTCTCATATACCCCCTTTGAAAGATTTACTGGAGGATATATTTTAGCAATCTAGGGTGAGTGTAAACACATACAATATATATTTTCTTCCTGAACCAAAAACCAGCAAGGGAACCTGGAAAATAAAATGCTATATTTTTATCCCAAAACACAGACAGCTAACAGTATATTTGGGTATTAAGGGGAAAAATGATTACAAATACTACCTACTGTTGGTAAAGTTGAAGGGTGTATTAAAATTTTTCATGGTAATTCTAATTTGTGGGGGAATGAATCTGCCAATATAACCATAAATAGGAAAGCGGTGGGGAAGGAGTAAAAAAAGCCTGGAAAAAATGTCAGGATAGTTCAAGAGAAAAGAATAGAAAGGTTGAACTCTCAAAAGAAGGATATTTGAATTTTATCATTTATCATAATGTAAATCTTAATAAACTTTCCTTTGAATATGCATTTTTATATTAAATATTTTCTATTCTACATTTCTTGAAAGAACTTTGTTATGATATATTTCACATTTTATTGCATGAGCCCATTCAATGGAGAGATTAAATTTCTTCCCTAATGTTAGACACTAGTTTTTTCTTAATTTTTAACTAATGACAATTGAAATGAATTGATTTGTAATGCATAGTTAGCCAAGAAGGAATTAAGGATAGAATGATGTAACTATTTTATGACTTATTACAAGGGCTAATTAAGTATATTCAATGTACCAAAACCAAAAAATGTATCTATCCCCTGTCCAGCATTGGAAACCAACCTCTCCTTTCTCAATTCAGAGTTCTAATGTTGGCCTTTGAGGACCTTCTGCAAAATGATTATTATTTTAAATGCCCTGGCCTCAGTAGGCCTGACTTTGAGCTCTAATTCTTTGTGATTCCAGGGAAAATCTTAACTTCCCTTGAGTCTCAGTTTCCTTATTCTGTAACTGAGTGAATTCCTTACAGGCTTCTTGTAAAGGTTCCGTGAGGTGATATTTGTGCCCAACGTAAGAGTCCCCAGTAGATGGGGACACACTGCTACCTGACCTACCAGTACAGAGCAAGGCTGGTTGCCCTTTTCACTGTAGACTTCAGAGTGAGAACCACGGCAGGCCGTTTTCATTTGCATTGGATGTGGGTAGGTCAGAAAATTAGAGACAATCACTGCTACCCCACTATCTGCATTGCTTTGCAGTACAATACAAAAATCAGGAAATTGATACTATGTTAATCATGTTTTAGGTTTATGTGGCCACAAACCTGATGCCCTAGAAAGCATTTATTTTCTTATAGTTATGGATGCCAGATATCCAAAATCTTACCACTGGACTGAATTCAGGGTGTCTACAGAACACTTGAGAGGCTAAATAGGAGGGTCTCCTTGCATTCCTTGGCTTGTTGGCTGCATCATTCCAGTATACATTTCCTATGGTAAAAAAATCTTCCTCTGCCTCTTAGTAAAAGTGCTCATTACTGCATTTAGAGTTAACACAAATGATCCAGGATAATCCCCCCACCTCAACATCCTTAAGTCATATGCAAAGTTATTTTCACTGTATAAGGTAAAATGTTCCAGCAGGTAGGGCCTGTTATCTTTGGGGGACTATTAGGTCTCCCACATGAGAGTACAGGCCTCACTGATTCCACCAGGCATTAGTATACACCCATTTATATGTACAATTCTCTGCAGTTTCACCTTGTGTGTAGATTTGGGTAACCGTACTCAAGACCGAGAACTGTTGATCACCACTAAGAAGCTCCCTCATGCCTCCCTGCCACCTGCTTGTACCTGGCCCCCTAAGTGCTATTTATTCATTTCTTTAATTCTGGCATTTCAGAAATACTACATAAAGGGAATCAAACAGGGTGTCACCTTTTGAGGTGGCTTAAACTTGATATTAGGTCTTTGACATCTGAATTGTTAGAAGTCATAGAGTCCCTTGTCCTCAGCTCCCAGGCAATGAACATACACCAGGAAGAAGACACAAGGACCCTTTTTGGTCTTCCCTGGGGGCCCAGCATTTTTTGATAAGGGTGTGGCAAAGGTATTTGAGCTTTCAGTAGGAACTTCCAAGGGTGAAGGGGACCTGAGCTGGCAGATTGCGGGGGACTGCCTAACATCTCATCCCTACACTAGGTCAATGAACTTACACTGGCACTTTACAACTTGCCATGGTGGGAGTAGTTACCATAGAAATGTACACATGGGGGCGCTTTTTTTGAGGGTCACTGATTTTACCAGGAAACCACTAGTCATGTTATTGTGTCTCTAATAGCTAGAAGCAGAGGTGCAATAGGAGCTGGTGCAGTGACTCGGGCCCCTTCTGGAGGGGTTTGGGATTGGAGATTGTCATTAACCAGTGAATGGAATTGTTGACAAGGACCACACTCTACTAGTCACCCCTTTGTATAGCTGAAGGGAGAATAGATGGTTTTATTAAATTGGGTAGTGTCCCCCAAAATTCACATCCACTTAGAATGTGACCTTTGGAAATAGTGTCTACTGATGTAATTAAGCAAAATTAAAATAAGTCAAAACTGGGTTAAGGTGAGCCTGATCCAAGAACTGGTGTCTTTCTAAGAAATGATGGCATATACACAAGGTAGACACCACCACCGCCCTTATCTTAAACCCTCACCTCTTGGGCCTTCACTGCTACTCCCTTCCTCTAGAGATGTACTGGGAGCCTCCCCTCTCCCTCTCCTAGCCAAGCTCCCAGAATTCCCTGGCCAAACACTTCCAGCCTCCCAGGACTTTCTTACCTACCTAAGCTCCCTAGACTGGACACAGAGTGAGCATCCCTGGGCCCTAAGGGGCCCAAGGGCTGATTGACTAGTTATTTAGGGAAAGATGTGGAGAATCTGGGTAACCACCTGTGTATTATGGCAACCCTCCAAATTTGAGAATGAGCAGAAGTAGAAAGGAGATGGGCTGTGGGCCAGTGATGCCTCTCCTGTCCCCTGTTCTGGTATGGAACTTGGGGGTCTAAGAATTTTGAACTTGAGTTTGCCATTCTGTGTCCTCATGAAGGAAGGCATTTGTAGTAGTTTGGTTTACTTGTAACTTTTAGATACTTAATAGAATATGTAGCTCTTTATACTCTTGCTCCAGACTTGGGGTGAACTATTTGGATTTACTGAGACGGGGGAGCTTTGAAGGAGGTTGTCCAGGGAACATCATGATCAAAGCTTTGCTCAGACTTAGGTGGTGAGTTTTTTAAAAATAGAATTAAGTGATTTCCCTGGCTGTTGTAGCTCAGTGGATTGAGTGCTGGCCTGCAAACCAAGGGTTGCCAGTTCCATTCCCAGTCAGGGCACATGCCTGGGTTGCACGCCAGGTCCTCAGTAGTGGGTGCTTGAGAGGCAACCCCAAGTGATGTTTCCCTCCCTTTCTATCTCCCTCCCTTTCCCTCTCTAAAAACAAATAGAATTAAGTGAGAAGACATCAGGCAGGATGATGAAGGAGGTAGTTCCAATTTAAGGGGAACAATAAGACACTTAAAAATGAAACATTCTTTTTATCTTTAATTAAAATGCAAACCATTTTTACCTCTAGTTAGAGGTCATCAGAGTGCACCAGGGTGTAACAACACTGTGGAGCATCCTCATTCGCTGGAACACAACTGACTGCCCCACCCACTGTGTAACCTGACCCAACAGAGTTTAGGCAGGCAGAAAAAAGGTCTGTGCTTCGTTTTGGGAAAGGCAGGTATGCTAGTAAATCCTAAAGGCTAACGGGATTTTGAGTTCATCTCATCAGTATTGTTTTTGGAAACAGGAGAAAGGCCTGGACTCTTGTGGGGCAGCGGGTGGGGACAAGATTATATGTGTATCCGGGGAGGGTTAAGAACTAGCTTGCTGCTCTGGCTGCTGTGGCTCAGTGGATTGAGCGCTGGCCTGCCGATGGAAGGTTGCAGCAAATGGCTTTCCCCCCACAGTCAAGACTGAGGAGATTGGACCCAGTTTCAGGGGTCTCTGGATCCACCATTGCTCCAGGTTAGGCTGCTTATAACTAAGTCATCATCAGCTATTTCACAGAAAACAACATGGGGTTTGAAAGGTTCAAAGTGTGGGCTGTCCTCTGTGAGACTGGTTTCTGCTTTTCCAGGGTTTTAGCTTCAGAAAGACTGAAATCTGGGGACATCTAACCCAGGGTGTCCCGTGTCACCTCTTCTAGAGGGAACTGACATGGGTACACACTTCCCATATGAGCCCCTAGAGATATTTTTCATCCTTGGGCCTTGGATAATGTTCTCTCTCCAACCTGGAGCGAATATAAAGTTCAAAATGTAAAAACCAAACACGGAAAGCTCACTCTCTCCAAGGTGTGAAATGAAACTGAACAGAGGTGGTCTTCAGTGCATTTATGATAGGGAGCACGTCATCAAAGGGCCCGCACTGCCATTTAGACGTGCCTCTACTTGGCTGGGGCCACTTCAGTGGTACTGGGTGACTTCCTGTGCTCTACTTTAGCACTTCGAGGTACTTGAAGAGACGTTGACAAACAAGTATCTCGGGTCTCAGGGAGGGCAGATTCCCCTAACAGGTCAGTTGAGTGGACTCAGTCTACCAGCCACTCCCTACTGCCTTTTCCAAAGTGTCGAGCAAGTCTGTCTTCTGCCCAAAGAGCTACCACCCAAGTTTAAAACATTTGAGGACGTCTCTCCATCTGGCAGGATTCTCCAAGCAGTCTTTTTTTTTTTTAAGATTTTCACTTTGAAGGTGAAGGCCAGCCTTCTTAGCTCCAACTGATGGTTTCCAGATTCAGGGAAGTCTTGAGCTATATTGATTTGCTGTACCTGCCAAGGTAAAGAGAAGAATAAAAGAACATTTGGTCCACAATATCAAAGCCACAGAAAGTATCAGCTTTAGTTCTTCAAAGGAAATGCAAAAACGCTGGGACCTTGAACTGGTAAATAGATTTCCTAGCCCAGTATTTCTCAGGCTTCATTAAGGTACTGCATGTCCTCCTCTTTGTTTCTCTTCCTTTTACTTTTTTTTTTTTTTTAGACAGGGGAAGGGAGGGAAAAACAGAAGCAGAGAAACATTAATGTGTGCTTGCCTCT